GCCAAACAGCAGATACCTAGGGGCCAGAACCAGCCACCTACAAAGAAAGGTGACAGCACAGACTCCAGTACCTGCAGCCAAGGGAAGGTTTGGTCCAAGGCATCTTCTTCACCCCAACGCAGTGCTGACAAGACCAGGGGGGCACTACAGAGGCTTGGCTCATGTGGAGACGAAAGGAGATAGCTGGGGAGAGATAGCTCCTAAGATCAGGCCGGGTCCAAGGCCACTGTGAATTCCAGCCAGCCACATAAAAGTCTGCAGGACCTGATTCAACCTTCTGATAGGACCTAGTCCAGAGGCCAGAATGCCAAGGGTAGTGAAGTGGCCACAAATGAGCAAGTCCAATGCATCTGCACTCCAGAGTAAATGTGGGTTAGCAACTACACTGACTTTCAAACATTTCTCTGACTAAAGAAAGGGTCTTCTTTTTGGAACCCATCATCTGGCCCTTTCCCTGGAGTAACTGACAGAACCCTTAAACATGGAGCAGTCCTTACCTTTGGGCCCAGAGAAAGAGAAGCCAGAGAAGTGTTCACCTTTTTTTTTGCTTCTCCCCAATCCTAACTACTATGCATCTTCCAGACACCAGCTCAGACTGTCACCTCCTGCAGGGCTACCATGGGCCCCGGAGCTGAGTCGGGTGCTTCTCTTTGGTGCACCCTTAATTCTGCCTACCTGCTGAACTGACAGCACCACTGTGCCTAGAACAGAAATGCACAAGAGATGGTAGCTACTAACAACCATCTCACTCATTTTTCTGAATTCTCTTCTGAAAGCCCTTCTGTCCTGGATCTCTATGAACACATGTATAACTTAACACATCAAGGAGTATGGACTAAAAGTCAATGAAGAGGCCTGATCTGACTGCTGTGTTGCTTTTTCCAAAGGGATTTTGAAAGATCATTCCCCAGTGAGGGCAGTAGTAGTGATGGGGCCCTTTCGAATTTGAGGTCACTGAGAAGGGCAGGGACCTGGTACCAGAAGCAGAAATTGAAGCTCTACTGGAGGAGCTGAGCATAGCTCTCTTGGAACGAGGAGGCAACAGCTTCTCCAGGAAGGAAGGGAATCAGCCTGTCACTCGCTCAGTGACACCTCCTTGCCAAGGGCCAGGCTGCTATGACAGCAAGAAGCTGGCTGTCCCAGCAGAAGAGACATCAGACACTGCCAGGACAAAGTGCAGGACAAAAGCTCTTCTGCCTGCTCCTAACCCAACACTTGTCTCTAGGACACCACTCCTCATTCTTCCCAGTGCTCTTCTCCAACGGCAGAGAGTCACTGGGACTCTGCTTAGACATCACTGCAACCAAGTGTGCAAGTAAGTCACATCAAAAACCACTACCACCCCCACCACAGTCATTTATTAAGTGCCTACCAGGCACTGTGTCAAAGCTTTACACACACTGTTTCCGTTAACCCAACCCTGAGGTAGTTCCAGTATCAATGTCCGCATCCCACATTATCATAGTTGAGGAAACTCAGACAGGTTGAATAAATCAACATAGGTCAAACCCAACTGGAGGTGTCAAAGACAGAAATCTGAACTGAAATTTATCTCCAAAATTCATGCTTTAAGATCCTACACTAGGGTCCAGGGATATAGCTCAGAGGCCTAAGTGCCTGCCTGGCAAATGCAAGGTCCTGAGTTTGATTCCCAGTACCAAAAAAAAAAAATCCTACACTAGATTGTTTTCCATAAAAGGACACATCCTCATTCCCAAACTGTTAAGAGACTGGACTTTAGGGGTGAAGTGCCATTTTTAAACTTCTTGACTCAGCTCTTGTACTCAAAACTCTTGAGTACAGTCTAGCATAAGCCAACCCCAGGTCCCTTTCTCCTGCCCCTCTACTCTCCAGAGCCCTCCTTCCACTGTCTGCTGTTCCCCTCCTGGCACCCTCTAGAACGTGGGGGTCAGCCAAATTTGGTGACACTGGGCCAAAGACCTGAGAGATATTACATGTTCACACAGGGCCCCTCAACTATAAACCACTGGACCCCAAGGCACACAAAGGGAGCACCAATTTCAGTTCTTCCACCCTGGTTTATCAAGCCTGGTGCCATTTGTGGAGTTTCCTGACCAACCCCCTATTCCCTGGTTCCCTATCACTCTCTAGGTTCCCTCTCTAATCCCTCACTGATCACAGGCCCACCAGCCTGGAGGCTGCTTGCTTTTGTTCAGCAGGGCTCCATTCAAGACCCCATAACCTACGCAGATTAAACACAGCCGCCTAAAGGACAATCAAGAAGGGCCCAGGGTGAGACAAGCTGATCCAGGAATGTCCAAATCTGACAGAGATGGCCAAGAGAGCAGAGCAAACAGAACAGAGGACTGAGCAGGGGTGCAACAGAGCTTCCTGAGGTCAGAACCGCAAGGTGAACAAGGATGATTCCAGGAGAGGGGCCCTGCAGCCATTGTGTCCAAACACTTGCAGCCATGGAGCTTCTGAGGGAAGGGCAACAGCCAGGTAGAACAGGGAGGAGGAGGCCACTGGAGGGCCTAGGCAGGGGAAAGCTGACAAGAGACTGAGGGAAGGGCTAGAAAGGGAGGTGAACATGTCCTCAGAGCACGAAGTGTGAGAGGACACCAAGAGGAGCCAGGAGGGACTAGAGGACAAGCAGCTAGGAGGCTCAAAGGGAAGGACATGCATTCAAAGCACAGGGCCTCCAGAACCCTATGAGCTACTAATTTCCACGTAAACTCCACTACCTACCCCACCTACAGAATACTAGTCACTGAGGGACACTGCTGTAAACCCTTGCTAGATTCTGCAGCAGAATCGTGAGGGCGAAATACTGAGGTAGGAAACATATGGAGAGGAGACAGCCCCATCCTTGAGAAATTCACACTCTGAGAAAACCATCACCACCCGCCCTATTCTTGAGACAGCCTCTGATTTAAGGACTCTTCTATAAACACGCCACAAAACTGAGGAACAAAATGATGCAAGTTAATACTGTCCTCAAAGTTTGAAGGGCAGAGATACAGGAAAGGTAGGCCTTTCCACGCCTTTCAACCTAGGTTATTAGTAAACTCATCACTGGGTCATGTCTGGGCCAGCAGCCTCCATGCTGTGCACAAAGCCACCAGTGTACTGGTGTGGGGAAAAAAAACCCTAACACTGCTGGAAGGCTTGGAGGATGAGTCCCTTCCTGGAGATCCAAGGGGCTCAGAACGGCCTGGAGACAGCAAGCAGTCCTCTCTTCCGAATTTCCTCCTCTCCACAGTCCCTACGCTGCCCAGAGGTACCAATCTCTCAGCTTCTGGGGTCTGATTAAGACCAGGTTTCCTTCACACCCTAGTGATGGAATATGACAAATACTTGTCAAGAGCGCAGGAATCCTGAATGTTGACTATTACAGAAACACTTTCTCAGAGCAGCACTCTTTGCCCTAAAGATTATAAATTTGACACCATCCATTTCTTTGTTGGCTCATGCCCAAAGACTATTCCTGTATCTACCTCAGACAGGGGACTTATCTTTGTTCACAAGTAAAAAGCTTTGTCCACCTGTGGCAACACTTAAAGGTTATCTAGCCCAGGTGTCTCTGAGGAGCAGAAGCAATGTCCCCCCCATACCGGGCTGGCCCACTGGTGACAATCCTTTCACCTCACTGTCTAACAGATTCAGACTAATGATCGCTCATTCCTAATTGTCAGATTTCTTTTCCTTCATCCTGTGTCTAATCACCAGTGACAGAAACCATTACGCAAATGAGAGCAGACGACTTCCCCCAACTGTTCTCATTGGTAAAAACCTTGTAATTTAGAGCTCTGATTTGTAGGGGAAGCTGGTCTCCCCAGGCATCCTGGGCATCTGCTCAACTGATGCCCAGAATAGCCCCTCCTCCACCCCAGAACACCTCCCCCCTCAACAAATACTTGACTTCACAAAGTAAGTTTCCTCTGTATCTGGAGTGTGAAAATAGAAGCTTACAACATGGTTGAACTCCAGACAAGCCCAAGTTCCCACCTTGCCTTGGCACACCCACCTCACATGTTGCCAGCCAGAATATGGGGAAGCTTTCTACCAGCAGTATTTCCTCTGTCACAAGCAGAACTTGAGCCTCGCCCTTACCCTTAGGCAAGCAAAGGGAAGAAACAATGACTCCCGGGAGGAAGTGGCTGAATAATAAGACTTTTGTCAGTGAGGTGGTGGTAGCACACACCTGTAATCCGAGCACTTCAGAAGCTGAGGCAGGGGGATTGCCTTGAGGCCAGCCTGGGCTACACAGTGAGTACAAGGTCAGCCTGAATGAAATAGTGAGACCTTGTCTCAATTATTTAAAAAAAAAAAAAAAAGATTTAACAATTTTAGTTAAGCTTAGCAACTAAAGTTTCAGTTCCCTAATGCAGAAGCACCTGGGAGGGCTATGGGACCCAATAGGGCACACAGTAACACAACAGGATTCAGAGCATCTGGAACTCCTAACACAGCCTCCCAGGGAGTTTCCCCAGATGTCTTTAGCTGTCCTGCAGAAGGGCTTTCACCTGGAGCTGGACTTCTGGACCCTCCTGGGCCAACTCCCTGTGTTATAAGGCAGGGAGGGAAAGAGGAGAATCAAGTTTGGTTGAACAGAAGTGGTGTGGGGGCTTGTAGCCAAACAGCACTAGGTTTGAACCCTGACTAACTCTAATCACATACTCTGTGGAAGACGATGTCTTCACCTGTCAAGTAAGAACACCTACCTTGCAGGTGCCTGCAACTCAGGGTGGCTCTCTATAACCCAACGACCAGCACCAATCCTCAGATTTCAGAGTTTACCTCCACCTCTCCTTCCTTCAGGCACAGTAACCTGTAAGGGCCAACCAAGTAGCCTCGAACTCCCTGCTGCAGAATACCTGCATCTTGGAGGGCTGAGCCAGGAGTGCAGATAATGCACTGACAATGAAAATATCTGCTATTTCCAAGGGTCACTTGGCCAAGTTCATCCTCTATCCACCTTGTTCTCTTTGCTGTGCTTCTCTTTCCCAAAAGAGATAGAAGCATGGAGTTCACTGCAATCACATTTCCCAGCACTGGCTGTATTTGAAAAAGCTATACTTGAAAAGGTACCATGTCTGCACAGCCACTGCACCAGAGAACCCCAGAACGGGGTACTACATAAAAACCCCTCTCCAAAATACATACATAGGTGCACACATACATACACACAAATCTCAGTCCATCAGGGCACTGTAAACTGAGCTTCGGGGGTGAGAGTCATAGCTCAGATGTTGAAAGTATACCTTTGGCCAAAAAAAAAAAGTGGGTGGAAGTAAAACCAGAGACTTCCAACTTCCTCTTCCCTTCCAGAGGAAAGGAAGATGGAGGGACCGGAGGTGAGTAGATGCATGGTCACCAAAGGGCCCACTCCCACTGACTGGATGTGGATGATGGCCCTTTGTGCTGTGCAAAAGCCATCTGCCCAGCTCTAAGCTGCAGCCCTGAGATGGGTGCCCGTAAGTACTAACAGAAGAGAAAGTTCTACTTCCATGTTCTGCCAGCTGCCCTGTCAAGGTTTCATGTAATGCTATTGCGGGTTTTGGCAGAGGCGCTGGCTCTAAGAGGCAGGGCTACACCTTTGCCCTCACCCTGAGGTGGATGAAGTGTAGTGAGTTAGCTGCCTAAGCCCAACCCCATGTCATCTACTCGCCAGGAAGCTCAGCAGGAGTAGAGGATATGGCCCAGATGGGAGGGCACAGGGCCTGGAGGCTCTAGCCAGTCTGCCTCAAGCAGTAGGCTGAGCCTGACCAACATATGATGGCTAAAATCCAAGTTAAAAAGCTGTAGGCTGTCAGGCAGTACCTCCAGGGGTCACACTGCAGTGTCACACTGGACAAGGCAAACAGTGGGGAACCCTGGTAAGCAGGGAGGCTGGCCAGTGTGGATACACACATACCAGTGCACACACGCACAGTGGCTTGCACTCTGAGAGCCTAGGGAAGGAAGCCACAGCTAGGGGAACTCCCTTGATACCTAGCACACGGGCAAGGGCTGGCACTGAAAGAGAAAAGCTGTATGTTTCTCTAATTTGGAACATATGCACAATCCTTGGTTCATATGTTCCAAGGTTCCTCTCTATGTATGGCTTGAGCTTGTAGGTCCCAGATGGAACCCTATCTATTCCTCTCCCACTGGAAGGCCATCTAGGCTCTCCAAGGCAAGCCTCTACAATCTGCCTAGTAGAGTCCCAGTAGCCATCCCCACCTGGCCTGGAGCCTGGTTCTATGGAGACTGGCAGAGGGCACATTGACCTAACGGTCAGACACACTGTGGCCCTGCAGCCCAGACGTAGTGGGGGATCCTACAGCATCTCCTCTCTCTCAGGCTGAGGCACTGAGGTTGCAGGAGACAGGACAAACAGCCAGAGTCACACCCTGGCCCAGAAGGAGGGAACAAGGATCAGATACATACATGTGTGTGCATGCACACACAGCCCAAGGTTGACAAGACTAACACACAGATACGATGACAACCACAAGCTGGGACTCCACACACTGAATGCAGGACTTTGGGGGGCAGAGAGGAAAGGTGCTGGGGTCCAAGAGGCAAGGGTGAGAAGTCCCTCCGAACAGGAGTGGAGTGCGACTACTCTGCCTTGCCCCAAACACCTGGCTCCAGGGCCATGGCAAGAGTCCAGTCCATTAAGTGCAGCGTGCAATACTAGTGCTTGGAGTCTCCTGTCCTCATCAACGAAGCCGTGGGGACGGGACAGCAGTCACCTGGCAGGAGGCCTTGACCCCTCGCAGGCTAGTTGTATCGGCCCTTGATCATTGTGTTCAACAAAGGCCCCACCTGTAAAGAGACATGAGGAGCCAGTCAGAACTCCTGCTCCCTGTCCTGGAATTGGACCTGATGTCAGACACTCAGTGTCCAGCCAAGAACAAGGACAAAGCTTTCATTCAATCTTGTAACCTCTCTAATCAGTGTTCTTCCTGAAGGTCAACCCAGTATTCTGGAGCAGGAGGCTTCCTTGCAGGAGTGGTGGTGGTGGTTTTGTCCTGTACTACCTTCCCTCTCATAATACCCTCTATATGCAAGCAGCAACAAAAAGACAGATCGGTGGAGATCATAAGCTCTCACACCAAGTGCCTGCACGCTTCTGCAATGTCCCCGAGGAAGGTTAAGTGCTTTTACAGCCTTAACAAAATGCCACCTGCAACTGGGCCTGGTGCCATCTCCCAACCCCAAAGGCACCTGTGGCTGCTGAGGAGGAAGCAAGAGCATTTCAAATACAAATCTCCTCCATTCACCCAATGAACCTTTGGTGCACCTGCGTGGGAAGCAGGTCTCAACACTACCTACAGCAGCCCTGGCTGAGCTGAGAGAGAGAACACAAGGAGATGCTTTACTGAATGCTTCTTGTTCCAAAGGAATCCCCTTGGGGGTCCCCAGCTGGCACATAAGCCTCGTGGGGAACATTACTACTAGCATGGAACAGATTATAATTGATCCGCCAGTCAAGCCCAGCTCTCACCAGAAAATAAGGATTTTCCAAACACACTCATAACCTCTGTGGAGAGAGAGGACATCGACTGAGACAAAGGAGCTATGGAGGATGCCACACCAACTCTAACTTACTTCTTGTGGGTTCCCTAAGGCCTCTCCAAGCATCTTCTCAATATTTCTCATTATGGCCACTTTCTGATGAGCTTTGAGAGGATATTCAATTCTCTTAGGAGTGGGAGCCCCCTACAAAGGAAGCAGAAGGTCAGGAAACGTGTTCCACAGCAGGGTTCAGTGTCAGTCCACTGCTTCTAGTACCATTCTCCCTTCGTGGAAACGGATTCAATCCTTCCCCTCTTCATCTTCCCCCAGAGACCTTGGAATCCTTCTGGGGACGGCCAATGAGCCCAACCCAGCCAAAATCATTCATTACATTCACCTCACGCCAGCCCCAGTTTCATCAGACCAAAGGAAAACATGCTCACCTTATACCAGAAGTTCACAGTGATGGTAATGCCCCCATTCAGTAGTGACTCTATATGATGCCACCTGCAAGGAAACAGGCTCCCGGTTACTCTTCATAGGGAGGAATGGGAAACTAAGCAGAGTACAGCTAAGGGAAGTAATGAAGACAGTATCATTATGCTCATCCTGCAAAACACACTGGGCTGCAGGGAGCAGGATTCAGACACCAAAGGGCAAGGACAGCCACAAGTCTCTGGGATCTTGCTGGGCTCGAGGAGCTAACTGTCCTCCTCTCTTACAGACAGGGTTATCACTTCCCTCACAGTCAGTATGCTGACACCTGAATATTAACTTTACCATACACATTACCAATTTTGTCTCAAGACTGGGACACAAATTTATTTCCCAGGAAATGAAAAAGAGAGTTCCCAGAGGGCCCAAGCCCTAGCCTCTTCCTCACCAGTACATTGGGATGTAAAGAACGTCACCAGGGCCAACCACTGTTTCATAACCAACCACGTTTTGGAAATTGGGGAATCTCTCGTAGTCAGGATTGTCAAAATCCACCTAAGAGATTCAAGAAAAAGAAAAAAGGTCAATCACCAGACTGTTATCAAAACCACCACATGCGAGTTACCTCAATGTGTTTAATATAACCTAGAAATATCTTCAGGCAGGCCGAGGAAATTCCACGCACATTCCTTTCTCGGAGAACAAAGTAAGGCAGCCCAGGCCTGAGCGTGACATGATAAGAGTCCAAGGCTTCAGGGTGCCTGACATCTGAAGACTATTCAATGGCTCAGGACATGAGAAATCAGAACTCATCCATCTCCTAAATGTTCAGAAACTTTCCTCCCAAAATAAATTCTAAACAATAGATTCCTACAAGGAAGGAAAGGATGTCTCTTGGAATCAACCAAGTGCCTTACTTAAATCCAGGAAATACAAGTGACATACCTCTATTTAGTTTTCCCCATATCAAAAAGAAACAGCATACAGGACAACAAAAAGCAATGATTAAATCCAATGGAGACATATACTGTTTATAAGCTTGTAAGCCAACCCGAGTAACCTGAGTCCATCAGTATCACTGACAGTCTGCTCCTGAGAAGTAACTCTAAGGGCTGTTTACTGGGGACTACTTGAGGAGCCTGGACTATGTGAGCTACACTGGGAAATTATCTTGAGTTTGCCTATGAGGTAACCAACCTATAATCCAAACCTGGCCTAGCATCACAGGGAAGGGGAACAATGTCCCAGCCACTGCTCACGGACATTCCTAGAATGTGGAGTTCCACACGCTCCTTCAGCCACACAAGCTCACCTGGCTCTGTCTGTCACACGGGTGGTGAACAGGGTATGGGTAGAGGCACTCAAATTGATCCGGTGGGAACAAGATGCACCGCTTATGTCCTTTTATCTGAGCAAAGAAGTTCTGCTGTTCATCATAGTGAGCAGGCGTCACATTCCCTGTAGGAAGACATTTCTTTACTCAAAGCAGTGCCTCAGCAGCACAGGTTCAACAGTCCTGGGAAGGAGACTCAGCATGCCCTCCCAACTAAGGGTTTCAAGTCAAATTTCAGGCAAAATCACAGATACTACAATGACAACTCTTAGCAAATTAAGCATTAGCTTTCTCAAGACAGGGTCTTGCTATGTAGTTCAGGCTGGCCTTAAACTCACTGTGTAGCCTAGGACAGCCTAAAACTCAGTGATCCTCCTGCCTCAGCCTCCTGAGTGCTGGGATTACAGGCGTGCACCACCATGCCCAGTTTAAGTGTTACATTTTTATGGGCAGTAAGTATAGCAATCTTCACTGGAAAGGGTCTATGACCAGCTAGCAAAATACAACAGACTTTCCTAAATGATGGCTGTTGCCCTTACGGGAATCAAGAGCATACAAAATGGATGTAAGTCTGGCAGGGGAAGATACTGTGTACACTTGTACTCTTCTTGACTATGGGAAAAATTCAAGGGAAGCAAATCAGAAATGACTGAAATGACTACCACCAACAATGAACACATGATCTTCTCAAGGAGTGAACCAGTCATTTTAAGTTGGGTGAACATGTCCTTGCTTTGTGTAGCTCTCCTGGAGTCCAAGATTTTCCACCTCTGCTCCTGTTTTACCACACCTGTGGGATACAGCACTTCTCAAAGCAGCATGGGATTGGGGCTGTTGGCTCTCACTAAAGGGAAGCTTGCATCACAAAAGGAGTGTCATATGATTTAAAAAGCATAACACATCATTTATTTATTTGGTACCGGGAATCGAACTCAGGACCTTGCACTTGCCAGGCAGAGACTTGTGCCACTGAACTGTATCTCTGGCCCAACACATTATTTAAATGCTACCTTGAATTAGTTCTGCCCTGGGGTATGTTTCACCCCATTTCTTTGTGACTGAGACCACATCTATGTCCTCTGCACATTTCTGCACGGCATGGAGTTTAGAAAACCTTCTCCAGCCTGCCTAGGTATGCCAAGAAAGCCTCCTTCTTTAGTGCTGAGAGTACATGTGCATCTTCAAAAGAGAGCTGCTCTCTAATTTTACATGAAGGATCCACCTCCCGGCTACAGGAAAGGAAAGCAACAGAGAAAGTCAGACCCAAGGAAACCAGAACTGGCTCCTTCCTGGCAGGTCAACCAAGCACTGCCTTCAAAGGCCAGGTAAGTGTCAACTCCTAAGCTACACTGCTGGAAAACTTTATTAACACCAGCAGCGAAGGATCCAAACCTGAAGAAAGGATGATCGAAGAGACCTCAGAGCTCAGTAATGAATAACAATGAACAATCACTCTCCTTCCTTGTTCAACAGTCTGTTCACAATTTACCAAAGCATCAACTAGGAGCCTGCCATGAGCTAGTGCTGGAAATAAAATGAGACAATGACACTGCCCTATTAGCAGTTTTCCTTCTTCTGAATGGAATTTAAAAACTTTTCCTTCTTATTCAAAAGGAAACAAGCAAAACCCAGAAAACCACACTGATGTATTTGCTTGTGTGTACATAACATTTTCTAGCAAGAAAAACAAGCAATAATAGGCAGCCCCTCCAAGGAAGGGAACTGGGAGACTGGGCGATAAGACATGCGAGAGAGACTTACAGTCATATATCTATTTAGATCTTTTGAATTTTGAGCCCCATAAATATTCTAACCTATTTAAAAGACGGGGTTGAATCTGTAAGTTTTCCTTTTCCACTGGGATGTAAATCTGAATAGAGACAGATCCAACAGAGAGCAGGAGCATTTCAGAGGGGTCCCCAAAATTGCAATGTATGCCCTCATACAGCAGTTGAGAAAGGGAAGAGGGAAGTTTTTTAGAGTGCATGGAACTAGCTGAACTTACATTATCTCATTTCATCCTCAGAATTATCTGTGAGACACTATGTCTCTTCTGCAAATGAGGAAGCTGACAAAAAGACCAATGACTTACTCAGTCATGGAGCTGGAAATCAGGCTTGTATGACTCCAAGCCATGCTGCTTTCTGAAAGATTTCTTACCTTCCATGCCAATGAGCAGCAGGTTAGAGGTCAGCTGTCCCCAGCCGCGCTTTCCCTGTTGCTTATTAATCCAGTTCCAGTTAAAACCCAAGAAGTCCATGACAATTTTCCTGCCCACGGTGTCATTGAGAGTTTGCTGTAGATACAACCTACATTGCCCAAGAAGAAAATTCCATCAATGCATGCACACATAGCCCCTGGCATGAACTCCTCAGGTATGGAAACACAAACTCAAATCTGTATCAGCATCTCCCATAGAAAACAGCTATAGTCATGTAAATTCGTAACCAACATAAATTCTTATAGAACTGATTTTTTCTTTTTTGAGATAGGGTCACACTATGATGCCCAGGCTAGTGTTGAGCTTCTACCTCAGCCTTTCAAGTTGCTGGGATTACAGGAGCACACCACCACACCCATCTCAGAACTGAATTTTTTTTTTCCTCCATTTTTGAGACAGGTCTCACTTAAGTAATTCAGGCTAGCCTCCTGCCTCAGACTCCAGAGTGCTGGGATTACAGGTATGCACCACCACGTTCAGCTGAGAACTGAAGTCTTATCTCTCCTTCCCTGAACTCTATTCAACACTAAACTTTTAAAGAAGTGATTCTCATCCTTCTCGGTCACAGCATTAATCCACTAAGAATCCACAATTCTCCATAAAAACATACACACATACAGAATTTCCACACAACTTCATATCCATCAAAAGCCTAGAAAGACGAATTGGTCTTGCTCCAGACTCTCAAGGCCTGACACACCTCCTTTGGCCCTTGATGGCCGCTGTCATAGGCTGTAACCCTGTTCACCCAGCAAAAGCTGGTCTTTCCCCACAGGAGTTACTCTTCCATGCCTGCTACTTATTCTTCCATGCCAGCTTACTTATTTCACTTACTTCAGCCAATGAAATGCCCACAGAGTGAACTGTGTTTCCAACTGTCTTTTTTTACTTTTCGTGGTACTGGTGACCAAACCCATGCTGGGCAAGTACATTACCACTGAGCTACATCCCCAGCCATTTTAAGTTTTTATTTTGAGATAGGATCTCACTAAATTGCCCAGGCTGGCCTTGAATTTGCAGTCTGAAATTTCAGTCTCAAACTCCCCAAAGTAGTTGGGATCACAGGTGTATGCCACTGCACCTGGCTTCCAACTGTAATTTTAAGGAACAGTTCACAACATCTTTCCCTCTGTCACAACAAATACAAAGCTGCAGATAGTAGCTACTAGAGCAAAGAGTGGATCCCAAAATGAAAAAGATGACATGACCAATGATGAACTTATAGTGAGAGTGAGAAATAAAGTTTTGGGGTTTTTTTTGGCCAATGAGTACTGGCTTGAAGCCTCGTTCATCTCAATTCATATAGCAAACTACCTATAGCAGCCTTTGACAGCCAAAGGACACCTCACTAGGTGCATGCCCCAGGATCCTAACATACCCGAGGAAGGTCACAAATTAATTGAGTGATATGAAAACCCAGACACACTTGATCAAGCCCCACAAGAGACATTAGTATGTTTTGTTTTTTGTCTTTTTGAGACAGGGTCTCACTATGCATGCAGTTCACGCTGGCCTTGAGCTCACTTTGTAGCCCAGGCTAGTCTTGAACTTGCAACAATCCTCCTGCCTCAGCCTCCCAAGTGCTGAGATTACAGGTGTTCACCACCACGCCTGGCAAGAGACATTAGTAGGGGGCAAACTTGAACAAGAGACCAAAACAGCCGTCTTAGTCCTAAGAACCTTACTGCAACAGGCTCAATGGCATTTCACTGCCTAAAATGGTAACAGTTAAGGTAATATTACTAGAAATCTTGGTTAAACTGGAAATACTAGCTACAGGGAACCCTCAAGACTTGAATGGGAACGGCTGGACTCTCCTCAAAGATTAATAATAATATATGTATGTAGACACAAATATTTCACAAGTGGGGCTGGGGATTTAGCTCAGCAGCACAGCGCCTGCTTGGCAAGCGCAAGGTCGTGAGTTTGATTCCCGGTACCGGAAAAAAAAAAATTTTGCAAGCAACTTTGAATCAGGGCACTCCCCAAGCGTGAATATAAAGTACTCAGTGAAAGAAATTCCCCACAAGCAACATTACAGTTCGGGACTTAATACTGTCTGGGGCCTACACAAGGGCTTCCCTCATGAACAGAGATGAAAGCAGAAAGGAACCCCTCAAGTGCATCTTGTGTTTGCTATCCCTGGTACATCGTAGAACACTAACAGCCCCACCTTCAACCTCATCTGATCTTCCCTAGGCTACAAGATCCCAATATCCTTTAACCCAAATCACAACTATACAACTTCTTGATTTAAACTGCCCCCAGTCACCCTAACACTCCAGAACAAACGCTACAAACTGGCAATCTCAGAGCTAAAGCCAGTGACAAGACATTTACTGTTTGGTTTCCCAGCTCTTTTTAAAAAAATATCTGAGCTGGACAAGGTGACACACATCTGCAATCTCAGCACTTGGGATGCTGAGGCAGGAGGATTGTCAAAAGTTCAAGGGCAGCCTGAACTACATAGTAAGACCCTGTCTCAACACCTCCAATGTGAAATACACAGTTGCCCATACATAAAAGTCAAAAGATTTTCAGTATTTCCTCATCTTGAACTTCTTTTTCCAAAAATGTCTAGTAACCCTTGACTGTTACCTAACATGCAACTATGCAAACTTAACCCCTTAGAGAAGCGCAGACAATTCATTCCGCAGGAATTCAGAGATGCGAGATACCAATCCTGCTCACCCAACTCAGCTCATACCTTAAAAATGGGTGCCCTAAATCCAATGAAAAACCAAGATCTGGGCACTTACCTGTCTTCTCCTCCTCGCTGCTGTATATCCTGCAGCTTCTCGACAAACTCATGAAATTTCATTTCCTCCCTGTTGGATCTCGGCTTAAAGTTCTGGAAATTAGCCATTTTCTTTTCATCGTAGTACAAGAACTTGTGAGTGCTGGCACTGTACACAGAGAAGTCTCCGTTGCCAATATTCTCTTGTAGGTATTCAAGGTCCCATTTCAGGGCAGGATACACAAGATTTGTGTCGGTGAGCACCACAGGCTCCTAGGCGAAAATACCGGGTGAAAAAAAGGCAAAGAAAATAACCCCAAGGAGCGAGATTCTCCTCTCATGGCTCCAGCTATTTCCCAACTTCAAAACAACCTCCCGTCCAGCAGCACGCGGGCCTCGGGTCCCGGCTCCTCGCCTCCGCGTCCCCGCCCTCGAGCCCCGGCCCGGCCCTCCCCCTGCGCCTCCGACCGCCCCCCGACCCAGCGCCGGCCCCGCCCGGCCCCGCCCCCACCTCGTTCTCGATGAGCTCCTCCGCCCGGGGGTCGCTCTGGCTCAGACGCGGGATAGGGCGCGTCTGGAAGCTATAACTGCGCAGCTGGGACTCATCCCAGGCGGGGCCCGGCGCTTCAGCCTCTTCCCGAGGCTCTCCAGCGTCAGAGGCCGCGGCCGCCGCCGCCGTCGCCGCCATCTCCGCCTCTAGGGACAATCCCTCCGGAAGCGGAAGCCCCGCCCATTCCGAGCGAAAGCGCAACGGAAACCATAGAGATGAGCCGACAGAGAGAGCTGGGCGGACGCATTAAAATGTGGGACCGAGGTTTGGGGCGCCTCCTACTGGTAGCCAACAGCCTACGTCCTAGGCTCCCTCCGCTTCTGGAGGGCAGGGGCTAGACCTCAGTCCCTCCGGGTAAACCAGTGCACCCTTATTGCTCCGTGTGCCCAGGCCTAGCCAAGGGGCAACGAAGGAGGCAAGTCTACTTAGGCGTTATACTTTACACGCACGCAAGGGGAGAGAAGCAAACTAAACCCACCTAAGAAAGTCAAAAGGAAGAGCAGTTATCACGCTGATAGATGTTAGACAAAGGGAGCTTTGAAGGCCAAGGCGAAAGATAAAAGGCAAGTTAAACTCTTTTAAACAAGGGAAGAGCTGGGCGTGATGGTGCACCTGTCCTCTTAGCTACTCAGCAGGCTGTAACAGGAGGTTAAATAAAAAGTAAAATCAAGGGAGGTGTTTTTTGTTTTGTTTTATTTCATTTTGTTTCGAGCATCGTTTGATTTTTCTGTCTGGCATCATCTCCCCTGCTTGTATATGTTCTTATCATGAGACTAGTATGGGCATTCTACATTTTCAAACAGTCTGTCTTGGTTATAAAAGCTGTGTGGTGGCACATGCCCGTGATCCCAGCACTCAGGAGGCTGAAGCAGGATTATTGTTGGGAGTTCCAGACCAGCCTGGGCTACAAAGTGAGCTCGAGGCCAGCCTGAACTGCATAGTGAAACCCTGTCTCAAAAAGACAAAAAAGAAAAGAAAAAGAAAATGTAATGGAGGTCTCAAGTCAGTTAACTGAGTTAATAAGAGTGGGCCTTACTGCTCTAAGCCCTTTAACTCTGGGTCCAGAGATCTGATACATAACTTTGGGAGATTTGAAGCCAGGGCACAGGGCACATTCTGTCGTGTTCCCCTTGAAGGAGCAAAGTGCAATGTGGCAGGGAATGACAGGTGCTCTTAGAGCTGATAGACTCGGGTAACAGCCACCAAGTATGTGGGAAGTTTAGTTCTCCAAATGCAAGTAACTGAATTCTGACAATGACCTCTGAGCTTAGAAAGGCTCAGCGCCTCAGATGACCCACACAGCACCTTGACTTTGGCCTAGTGGTGTAACTGCGTGGCCTGGGCCACGTCTCACTAAGTCAAAGAATGAAGTTGAGGACAAAAGAGGTAGACAGGAGGTTTATTAAGAAGAGAGGAATGCCTCCCAACAGTTGGGAGGGAGTTCAAAAGTAAGTTCCTTTTCTCATTGCTGGGACAGAATACCTGACACCCAGAAGTGCAAGGAGGAAAAGTTTACTCAGCTCACAGTTTGTAGAGGCTTCAGTTCATAGTCGGGTGGTTCCAGGCAGGCTGGCGTGGCAGAGGGGTATTGCAAAGGAGAAATAGTCCAGAGCAAAGCAGGCAGGAGGCAGCAAAGCAGCAGCAGCAGCAGCAGCAAGCCTGTCTTCTCTCTCTCCCTTTACATTCCATCCAGACTGTAAACCTAGTGACTGGTGCCACCCACACCCAGGGTGGGGCTTCCATTATCCGAACCCTTAATCCACACTCACACACCCTAACTGTGCCACCTTCAAAACTCCCCACTTATGACCACATGAGGTTTTAGGGGACAGCTAGATATAAGCCGTAGCAGTTGCCATGGGGACTTTTCATCTAGGAGTTTTTAACACCCAAAAGTGACCAGGGCTGAGATTCAGAGTCAAACTAAGGTCAAGGTATAGGACTAAAACAAGCTTATTTAAATAGAAATGGGCCTCTGACGAGTTAGGGCATGTAGCAAGTGTTTGTCTGTATTTGCCTTTTGGCCTGTACCCTACCTAAGTGGTTTATGGAAGAACAAAATGAGAAGGAAAAATCATTTTCCAGATAGGTAGGAGCACAAGTTGTCATCTATCACCTTGCCTGTTACATTCCTGGACTTAATTGTCCACCTAGTTCTTATTAATTCTTGACCTCAAACTCTTGCTTATCTGACCAAGGCCTGGTCATCCTGACTCTATTTTAGACCCAGTATCTCTCTAGCTACCTGTTATCTACCTAACTTGCCTGTTTATAATAGTGGTACCCTGGCCAGGGATGGTGGTGCACCCCTGTAATCCCAGCACTTGGGAGGCTGAAACAGGAGGATCAAAGAGTTCAAGCTCAGCCTGGGCTACATAGTGAGACCCTGTTTTCAGAAACAAAACAAAAACCAAAAAACAAAAAAAGAAAGAAATAAATAAAAAAAAAAGAAGGAAAGAAAGAGAGAAAGAGAAAAAAAAGAGAAAGAAAGAAAGAAAGAAAGAAAGAAAGAAAGAAAGAAAGAAAGAAAGAAAAAGAAAAGAAAAAAGAAAAGAAAAGAAGAGAAGAGAAGAGAAAAGAAAAGGAAGGAAGAAGGCCAGGGATGTAGCTCAGCAGCACAATGCCTGCCTGGTAAGCACAAGGTCCTGAGTTTGATTCCTGGTTCCAAAAACAAAGAAAAGAAATGATAATTGGTGTTGTTTCTGCTGCTAAATGTACGGTTTGTTTTAAGCACACTGAATTTTTTAAATTTGTTATACAGCAATAGAAACCAATACACAAGTTTAACTATGTAATTATGCTAAATAGTAATTATGATACACTTAACTGATAACAGAATTATCTCTGTGAAAGGGATGACAATTAAGGCCTCTTTTATCTGCAATGTTTGGATTTATATAAATTTATAATCTTGGGAATTAAAAATAAATTAGACGTAGAAGACTCAAATTACTAAAATAAGGAATTCACTAGGTGTAGTGGTATATACCTATAATCCCAAGCACTTAGGGGTTCCGAGGCAGGATCACTGCGAGTTCCAGACCAGCCTGGGCTACAAAGTGAATTCAAGGCCAGCCTGAACTGCATAACAAAATCCTGTCTCAAAAAGACAAAACAAAACAAAACTAAAAAACAGAATTCAGGAAGGGGCAATATCACCAGTGTTACAAAAATAAAAAGGCAATATATAAGAGAATACTGTAGACAGTTGTATGGCAATAGATTAGAGAACCTAGATGAAATGGAAAACTTTCTGGAAAGGAACAAGCTATCATAACAGATTCAAGAAGAAACAGAGAAATCTGGATAGACCTATAATAAGACACCATTAAAAATCAAAAAACATCCAAGTCAGAGGATAGAACAAGGTACATATAAATGTAAACAAAGTCTCAGAGGACATTAGAGAATTTTCAGGTCCCTCCTTGTATGTTCAAATTAGGGTACATTCATTTTACTCTTCCTAATAAAATTGCTTTTTTTGGGGAGCGGGGGTTTGAGACAGAGTCTCACTATGTAATTCAGGCTGCCCTTGAACTCATTTTGTAGGCTGGCCTTGAACTTGTAGTAATTGTCCTGCCTCAGCCTTCTCAGTGCTGGGATTACAGGTTCTTAGAAAAAACAGAAAGTGCTAGCACTAGTTACTAAGACAATGAAATGTAAATGACAATGAGGTTTCAGTAGGACCCCCAAAGCATGTTGGCAACCAATGCAATAGTGTTGGAAGGTGTGGTCTACTGGGGACTTTTGGCCATGGGAGCCCCACCCTCATAAGTGACCTGATGCCCATTGTAAAGGGGTTTGAAGCTGTTTGACCTTTCGCTTTCCCTTGCTTGCGCTTTCTCTCCCTTCCTATGCCTTTAGTCATGGAATTGCGCAGCAAGAAAGATTTTATCAGACAGGGCCCTTGAGGGGTTAAGCCTTGGATTTCCCAGTCTCTAGAACTGTAAGAACTTCTCATTATAAATTACCCAGTCTCAAGATGGACTAAGACAGATACCATTCATGCCCACTATGATGACTGTAACAAAAAAGACAATAATGTGTTGGTGAGGATGTGGAGAAATTAGAACACTCATACCCTGCTAGCAGGAATGTAAATAGTGTAGATCCTTTGGAAAACAATCTGGGAATTTTTCAGGAGGTTGAAAATAGAGTTACTAAATGCCCCAGCAACTCTTTTAGGTATATATACAAAAGAACTGAAAGCATAGATCCACACAGAAATTTTTTTTTTTTGTCTTTTTGAGATAGGGTCTTGCTACGCAGTTCACACTGGTCTTGAGCTCACTTTTTAGCCCAGGCTGGTTTAGAACTCACAGTGATCCGATCCTCCTGCCTCAGCCTCCCGAGTGTAGGATTACGGGCGTGTGCCACCAAGCCTGGCTTGTCACACAGAAAAGTTGCATAAAAATGTCTATAGAAGCATTATTCAAACTGAAAACAACCCAAATGTCTACCGATAAACGTATAAATGAAATATTATATATCCATATACTAGAATATCATTGAGCCCTAATAAGGAATGAAGTAGTGATATGTAGTAAAACACGATCAAATTTTGAAGACATTAAGCTCAGTGAAAGGAAACAGACACAAAAAGTCACATAATGCATACATAAAATAACCGGAGTAGGCAAATCTAGATTGGTGGTTGCCAGTAGGTGAGAGGACAGGAAACATGCCAGTTGGTATGAGATTTATTTTAGGGGGTAATGAAAATGTTTTAGAATTACATAGTGGAGAAGGTTGCAGAACTGTGGAATGTAAGCATACTAAAAATCACTTTATTGTAAAGTTACAAAGGGGAACTTGTATGATATGTAAGTGATATCCCAATACAAATAAACAAATAAATAAACAAGACCAACTGTTTCTTGATCCAGAATGAGATCCAATTTACTACTGGTGGACTGTAGATGTTGCCCAGTTATTCTGACTTTATCCAACTAGTGATGTTCATTTACAAGAGGTAAAATTGCTGTTGTCATTCTTTACAAAAATTTTACACTGAGTAGTACATATTTTTTATACCACTCTGAAATATAGTTGAGAATGTCCACAACAATGGTTTTTGCACCGGGTGTGATGGTGCTCGGTTGCAATCTCAGCACTTGGGAGGCTGAGGCAGGAGGATTGCCATGAGTTCGAGGCCAGCCTGCTGGACTACTTGGTGAGTTTAAGGACACCCTGTCTCAAAAGAAAAGATTTTGCTTCAAAACAGTGAGTGATAACCCTAAAATTTCTGGAGTTAGTGCAAGTTATGTGCATCTCACTTGCATTATAACAGGCAAGTTAACATATAATTTGCATTATAACGTGTGAAAACATTCATATGCAAACATAATGTCTCCCATTCTTCAATGAAATTACAGCTTGTCAGTTGTGGGCTGGTTTGCAATCTCTTCACGCAAGTCCTGGTGAATCCGAGGTTTTGGGCTTTTTTCCGCAGAGCTGCCTCTGATTGATAGGATTCGTTTTACAGTTGTTTGAGCAAAGGAGACTGGGACTGACGCGGCAACTCAGCTGATTTGTGAGCTGCGCGGGAGCATCTAGTGGAAAGAGACGGACCAGTTTGGAGAACGGGAAACAAACAAGCAACAGCAACCCTAAGGGCTGGGTTTGAAGAACGAGCGCGTTTCAGGATGGAAGAACTGCCAGTAAAGGAGAGCCAGAGGGCAGCAGCCAGTGGAGAAAGAAACGCAAGTTTTACTAGTGCGTGCTTGGGCCGGAGGCTCATCTGTCTACCTCAGATGCTCATTCCCTAACACAACAACCTGAAATACCAAAGCGGCTATCCGGGTTTTCTCTCCTTCCCGCTGTTTCTCCTGGCTCCTGGTCTCCATTCACCTGTCCACTCCGCCAGATTGAGTCTCCGCTCCCACTACGACTTCTGAGTAGGTTTGGCCCAGCTCAGCTGCCGTCCTCGTCCTTGCGCACGCGCAGAGTGAACTGGGAAACAAGGTGAAGATGGCGGGCGCCCGGGCGGCGGCTCTGGGCGTCCGGTGGCTGCGAGGCGCAGCTCGGCAGGCGGTGCCGTTGGGGGCACGCACAGGTCTGCGGGAATGGGCGAGGCCTCACCGTGGGAAGCGGGTGGCTGAAGTCTGATGTGTGTGTGGGTGGGGGGCTAGTGGATCCAGCAGCGGCTGTAATCCGGCAGAGGGAGGGAGGATGGAAGGTCGCGCCGGTCGGGCAAAGTCCCGGGACGCTGCAGCCCCGGAAGCGTTCAGCCTTCCAGGCACCCGGGGAACGGGCACTGTCTGACCTGCCCTCTTCTGCGCTCCAGCCTCCCACATGACCAAGGACATGCTGCCGGGCCCCTATCCTAGGACCCCAGAGGAACGGGCGGCCGCCGCCAGGAAGTATAATCTGCGTGTGGAAGACTACGAGCCGTACCCGGACGAAGGCATGGGGTGAGGGAGGGGGTGTGATGAGCGATGATGGGGGTGGCTGCACTCGGACCCTTTCCCCCGAATCTTGGTGTGGGTGCTGTCTTTGGGGGAGGGAGGTGGAGTAGGTGGGTGAGCAGCTGCAGCCGAGAGGACTTCAATTTTCTCCTTGGCTCAGGCTGTTTTTCTCAAATGAGGAAGCCGACGTTTTAATGGCTCCCTCGAGGACTCCCAGATAGCAGGAACCTTTCTTGGCTCTGTCCAGAGCGCCGCGTTTCATTTAGATGGAGCATCTGCTGGGCTCAGGTGCCGTCATCCAAACACGTGACCAGGCTGGAGCTGGCTCTTGTCGTGAGAGTCTTATTTGTCGATGGAGTGTTCTGAATGTCTCTTTAACCCCACAGCTTTCTGTTAGGGCTATGGAAATCGAAGCAGCTGCTCAGGTAGATAACGACTAATTCCATTCTCCATTGATGTTACCCTCTTCATATCTCCAGAACACGCTGATGGTTTTTTTTTGTTTTGTTTTGTTTTTTTGGTATTTCTCCGGTACCGGGAATCGAACTCATGACCTTGTACTTGCCAGGCAGGCACTGTGCCGCTGAGCTAAATCCCCAGCCCCTTGATGGTTTCTTATTACCATCATTTCCTGTCCTAGCATCATTCTTTCAGTCTTGTTTTCAGCATTTCCTATTCTTGTTGTTGCCCCCCCCTCCTCTTTCCTTGATCTTTTTGAAACAAGGCTCTTTCTGCAGTTGAGGCTACCCTTGAACTTACTGTGTAGACCAGTCTGGTCTCAAACTCCCAACGATCCTCCTGCCTCAGCCTCCCGAGTGCTGGGATTACAGGTGTGCACCACCATGTCCAGCTGCACCCTATTCTTGTTTCTATCATTTTCTGTGACACATGTCTAGTTATCATCATTTCCCTTTTTTTTTTAAACTATTGTGGGCAGGAGCAATCTTGATAACACCCAACTAGGCAAGAAGTCCCAAGAGATGTTTGAGGCATAGAGATGTCTGCCAATTCCTGGTTGAGAAACACAGTTGTGATGTAAATGCTTTTCTAATTCCTACCCTTTCTGCTTTTTTTTTAGGTTAGCTAGGTGACTTTGGATTCAGACCTTAAGTTTTTGTTTCATTTTCTATCTGATGAAGGAACAGAATAATTGATTGCTAGATTCCCTTTTAGCAGTAGCATCATAGGATTATGTGCTTTTTTTAAATAGGGAAGAGAAAGTTATCATTTTTTATAATTTTATTATTTTTTTAAGACAGTCTCACAATGTAGCTTATGCTGGCTTTGAACTCACAGTCTTTCTGCCTCAACTTCCCAAGTGCTGGGATTACAGATGTACTCCACCACCATCCGTAGGAAACCTTATATATTGTAATGTTTTAGAGTTTGACGTGACCTTGTCATTACAGTTAGGTTAGTTCTGTGGTTAGTGACTAGAATTTGAGGTCTTAGGAGTCAGTTCCTCTGTTCTTAGGTGGGGTGGTTATAGCTATTTCTTGATTTCTCATCTCTGAGATGAGACTCTGCATTGTCTGACATTGCTCACAGCATTCCAGAAATTCTTGCTATTTTTCAGGTATGGCGACTACCCGAAGCTTCCTGACCGCTCACAACATGAGAGGGATCCGTGGTATGAATGGGACCACCCAGACCTGAGGTTGAACTGGGGTGAACCGGTGAGAAAACCGTAACTCATTTAACCTTCTCTCTTTACTACTTGCTATGTATTTCTGGGATCTTCTCTTTAGCGGAAATGGCACTGCTAAGTCCCAGTAACACTCATCTTTTCTGCTCAAAGATGCAAGGGCTGAGGATATAGCTCAGTGGCACAGTGCCTGCCTGGCAAGTGTGAGGTCCTGAGTTAGATTCCTGGTACAAAAAAAAAAACAAGGTCTAGTAACCTAAGACTTGAAATTCCATATTTGGCTGTGGACTGGGACTTCTGGAAATAATTAAAGCTCCATGTTGTTGAAATTATATACTTTATGATAGCACTGTTTCTAGTGAGCAGAGCCTAGACAGAGGCCAGCATCCAGCCATGTGTCTCAGACCATCACTCTTAGGCAGCAGAACATTGCCTAGCCTTGTATCAGGCTCTGGTCACACTGGACTGCCTGCATGGCTTTTGTAGGAAGAGCATTTTGTGACATTTACCTGCCTTTCTGTTTCAGATTCACTGGCACCTAGACATGTTTATCCGGAACCGTGTGGACACATCTCCCACACCTGTGTCTTGGCACATCATGCGTAACCATCTCTTCGGCTTCGTGGCCTTCATGATTTTCATGTTCTGGGTAGGGGAGATATATCCCAGCTACCAGCCTGTGGTGAGTACCTGAGAAGTGCTACCTTAGGCACATTTGTTTACCCGCTTTCCTGGGGGAGTTAAATCTCTGGCATAGGGCACCAGTCAGTATCAAACCTAGCTTCCAGGAATTGTAGAAAATAGGCAAAGAGAAGGGCTTTACCCATTGGCTTGATATAAATACCAGAGTACTCCACCCCTACTTGGACCAGTCTAAGTGAGAAGGCACATTTTAGGATGAGCTGAGGAATGAGGATGTGGAAGCCAGCTACCTGTTAGAGTTACCATTTGAGGGTTATACTTAGCTGTTATATTTCAGGGAGTGACTTTTTAAGGTAGTGTCAAGGAATCTAGAGCTGAAGTCTTATCCTGTTGGACATGTGAAGGGCACTTTCTGTGGGATATACTGGAGGCAAGTTAAGCATGTGTTGTAAGCTTAGTTATATTTTGGACAATGTAAAAGACATAGAAAATACACTCCAAGCTGGGCGTGGTGGTGCATGCTTGTAATCCCAGCACGAGAGGCTGAGGCAGGAGGATCGTTTCGAATTCAAGACCAGCCTGGGCTATAAAGTGAGCTCAAGGCCAGCCTGAACTACATAGCAAGACCCTGTCTCAAAAAGACCAAAGAAAAAGAAAGAAAATATACTCCATAATGTTAAAGAAACTTAAGAAAATTTAGATAAATGACATGCACAACATGTGAACAGCTATGTGGGAGTTAGGTTTGAGCACATATATGTATGGTGTGTATTAATATATTTATGGTGTATGTGTTTGTATAGAGAACGTATATGCAGAGTGGAATGAGCTGTTGTCAGAAAGAGCTAACGCTAGATGCTAAAAATAGGATTTGGCTGGTGAAGCTGGGTAAAACATTTAGGGTAAGGGAAGAAATGGGAAAAGGAGAGTGATTTAGCAAAAGTGGAATAGGTATATTAAATAGTTCCTAGATAACCAGCTGCATCGTTTCCCTAGAGAGCTGCTAAAAATTCAGATTCCTAGGCTCTACTTTCTAGAGATCCTAATTCAGTAGCTCCATGGTAGAATTTTAGGATCAGTATTTTCAACAGTCCCCCAGGTAATTCGGATGTGCATCTAAACTTGGAAGTCACTGTGTAAAAAAAAATATTGCAAGGTGAGTTGATCCAGTTAGGTGAGGCAGTTACTATTGTAAGCTGAGGAATTTGAATGTGCAAGTACAGTGATGTTTCAATGTAATACACATTTTTGCAGCCACTGCTATGTACCGCTGACTGTGCTAGGGATCAGTGGTGCTGTGATGACTTTGTCTGCCTTCAGGAGCACAGAGCCATTTTTGGTTTTTGAACAGAAGAATAACACGGTGGGGGCTGGGGATTTAGCTCAGCGGCAAAGCGCCTGCCTGGCAAGTGCAAGGTCGTGAGTTCGGTTCCCGGTACCGGAGAAAAACCAAAAAAAAAAAAAAAAGAAGAATAACACACGGGGAAGGTTAGATTCTTAGGAAGTGAATCTAGGAATAGTCTCCAGGACAGACTGGAAAGGCAGAGAGGCTGCCGTGTTTGCAGTTGGCTGCCCAGCGTCACCTCTGCAGAGATAATCAGTGTCCCAGAGGTGGCTGGTACGTCTGTGTGCACTGACACGAGTCTTCTTGCCAAGCCGTAGGGGCTCCTCTCTGAAGAGTGCACGTTGGGCCGGGGTGAGCACTAACTTCACTTGAGGAGTGCAGGACACAGTGTGGCTTTTCCATTTTTCAGTTCTATAAGCATATCACCCTTTTCTCCTCCTCTTGAGCTGTGTTCTTTGACAGCTGTTTGTTGGTAAAGCCAGCAGCCCCTGAAGCACGTCCCAGCCCTGTCTCCTCTGTGCTTCCCCCCACTGCTGCTCCTGCACGCCTCATTTGCTAGGCCACTTTAGTGGTGGAACCATTAGAGGCTGAGTGACTTAAAGGAGATTGAGTCTGTCTCGACCCCGAGAGAGAACGGAATGGATGGATGCATCGTCTCATTTAGAAAGCTTTGACTCTGATTCTCTTTCTCCCCGCCACCCCTGCATGCCCTGCTCTCCCTCACAGTGCAGGCACCACTTCTGCTACAATTTAGGCTTTTTCTCTGCCTTGGGCTGAGTGGGGAAGAAAAGTGCTGCTCCTGCTGTTCCAGCCCAGTCGGGGCTGACCAGGGCTATTGCGTGCCCATTTCCCATGCATGATTGTTAACTCAGAGTAGGGTGTAGGGGCGGGAGATTTAGCTCAGCGGCACAGCGCCTGCCTGGCAAGTGTGAGGTCATGACTTCGGTTCCTGATACCAGAAAAAAGAAAAAAAAAACAGAGTAGGGTGTAGCCAGGCTTTGGATGGCAGTGTGTTCTTTGTTGTTCTTGCTGACCTGCGTTTTCTTCCTTAGGGGCCGAAGCAGTACCCTTATAATAATCTGTACCTGGAACGAGGCGGTGATCCCACCAAAGAACCTGAGCCTGTGGTTCACTATGAGATCTGAGGTGTTTTGGACTCTTGAGCCCTCTAACAAGGACTCCTCATTTCTAGAGACTTAACCTTCATGAAACGCCTAATAAAACTTAGTGCTCTGGTATCTGTGCTTTATTCTCACAGGCATAGCACTGCTGTGAGAAGCCTCCCTCCCTCCCCATCTACTCTCCTCTGCTTCTGCCTGTTCTGTCAGTGTTAGTAGAAGGACAGGGTGTTAAGCACAAGAAGCTGTTAACTTCCCTGGGACTGGGAGGTGACGCAGTTCCAGTTGTGTAGCAGGTGCTAAACATCACTCCTTTCCTATCTGCAGGATCAAAGGAGACAGTCTTCCTAACTTCTCGGGTTGGAACGAGATTTCCTATTAAAGAAAAAAACACTGTCAGGTGTGGTGGCACATGCCTGTAATCCCAGGACTTGGAGGGCTGAGGCAGGAGACCTGCTGAGTTCAAGGTGAACAGTGAGACCCTATCTGAAAAAGCTGAAACCAAAACAAAAAAACCCACTTTTTTTGAGTGGAGGTATTTTTGAGACAATGTTTCACTATGTAGTTCAGGGTGGCATCAAACTCACTTTATAGCCCGGGCTGGCTAGCTTCGAACTCCAACCAATCCTGCCTCAGCCTCCTGAGTGCTGGGATTATAGGTATGTGCCACCACACCCAGGGAAACCACTTTTTTTTTTTTCCCTTGAACTCACTACAAGGCCCAGGCTGGCCTTGAACTCACAGTGACCCTCCTGAGCACTGGGATTACAGGTGTGCGCCACCACACCTGGCAATGATCATTTATTTAGCAAATGTGTCTCTAAATATATATATGAGACATTGCTATGCCCTGGGGCTATAAAATTGAACAAGACAGAATTGTCAAGTAGTTGCTTAGAAGAGCCGTCCACCAGTTATGTGAAAAGAATGAGATGTGTGACATGAGAAGGCTGCACTTGTTTAATCGTGTCTTCCTTGAACTGGTCCTGTGTCTCTGTTTCAAATTTCTTCTTCAGTACTCCATCACTGGCAGTTGCGCCTCGCCCCTAATTCTGCAAACTGCCTCAGGTTCAGTTTTTAACCCTGCTTTTTCTCAGGTCTCACCCACCTGTGTTAAATTCAAGACATACTTGTCAAGAGCTTATTAGGTAATAAGGGTGGTATGAGCATGGACAGTGCCATTGTGTCCTGTGCCTGACCTTGAACTCCCACATCCATGTGGAAAGGCACTCCAGAGTTGTGTCAGAATGAGATGGGCCCTTTAGATAACCAAGGCTTCAGCTTTGGAGTCAATCTCCAAATTTTGGTAGGGCCAAAATAAA